GAGCGTTGATGTCAGTGGAACTGCTAATGTAGCACTTTTTTTTCCAAAAAAGCATCTGCCACACGCAGCTGACAGGTGCTTTAATCATGATTAGCATTGCAAAAAACGAGGGACTCTTTAAAGGGCCAGCACCATGAAAACAAAGAGTGAATTTATTATTTATTATTAATAAGAATTTGTTGAACTGAGTCAACATATAAATGTTTCAGTTCACTCCCCAGTCCATACAGTCCATGTATGGAAAGTAAGCCCATTATGAATTCCTCATGGTCTATATATATATATATATATATATATATATATATATATGTATATATATATATCGATCAGGCATAACATTATGACCACCTCCTTGTTTCTACGCTCATTGTCCATTTTATCAGCTCCACTTACTATATAGGTGCACTTTGTAGTTCTACAGTTACAGACTGTAGTCCATCTGTTTCTCTGCATACTTTGTTAGCCCTCTTTTACCCTGTTCTTCAGTGGTCAGCACCCCCATGGACCCTCACAGAGCAGGTACTATTTGAGTAGTGGATCATTCTCAGCACTGCTGCTGGAGTTTTTAAACACTGTGTCCCTCACTGTCCACTCTATTAGACACTCCTACCTTGTCAGTCCACCTTGTAGATGTAAAGTCTTGTGTTACCTTTCTTATGTGTAACACCAATGACGATCAGTAACACCAGTGACTCGTATGGAAAGATAAAAAAGTGGACGTTTCTGTAGAATGACCCATAATTAGTAGGCGTAGTGATATTAATTTGGCTGTGATATCGTGATTGTCCCACTTTTAGACAATATTGTCATATTAAAGTCCATTTATATCACCCACCCCTCAGCTCCGACAGACTTATCTCACCCTGTGGAGGAATTTCACAGAGATTTCGGCTCTGTCGCATCTATCAGTCACCGCAATCAGCCACTGAGGACTTCAGTTGTGTTTGCGCTGACCGGTGAAGCCGACCCAGGAAATGCCGATGTCACTAAACGCTCTCACTAAACGGTTCTGTGTTAAATGAGCTATAAGCCCTGCTAGCTGCGCTCTATCTACTTTATCAGTAGCCTCAACGATTCTTTCCCATGCAAAGAGCCGCTGACCGCTTCCACTCGGTCTCGGACGCACTGCTCTATTTTTCACTGTCAGAGGAGAGATAAAAACATAGCTGTCTCCATACATCATACACACATTACAGGGCCTTTTTCGCCGGCCTGCTTTTTTTTTCGGAACGTGTGCGCGTGTGCGTGAGTGTGTCTCATTTTCCTGTTTGACCCCAAGACCTTCATCCGAGCCAAAACACACACTCATAAGGGAGTCTCTATTGCGGCCAAAGGGGTGAACAAAGTGAGTGAGTCATGAAGGGATCGCTAAACGCTGAACGAGTACACCCACGCAAACGTACAGTGTGGTCAGTTCCATTCCACTGCTGTGAAATGGAGAGTTGAAATTACTGCATTCCATTGTAATAAAACAGGTTACAGTCAAATAATAAAAATAAAAGGTCCACTTATAACATTTGTGTGGTTTGATGTGTGAATAATTCATATTTAGTTTTATATGGCCATTTTTCACCCTTTCTATATCCTTTCTTGAATTAATCAGGCTATAGTAAAGGACTTTTTTAGTTAACCCCAATAATATGTTTTTTTGAGGACTATTTTGGCTCACAGTGCCCTGTGTGCACCCCTCCACTGTTAAAAGGGTTAAAAATGTGTTTGAGGCCAAAACTTTATCTCAAATCTATCATTAACCAATGTCTCAGGCATTAGGCAGCGTATTCATAACCATTTCATGTAGTGAGGGAGCTTTTAGGGGGTGGACGTCTGGTTCCTATCACCACCACTGTGAACAATTCTGACATTAAACCACTCTGAATGACTTGCCTGGCTCATTTTGTGTTGAGAGTGACGCCATAGGGCTCCTCTTTTCAGCAAACCTCCCACTGCTACCTGGAGACCTTTACAGGGGAACTAAAGCTCACTTCTGAGTTTGTGAGCATTGCGGCTTGACGTGAAAGCTGTTTCCTGTCTTCAGGATACGAGCTGATTTTATAAGGACATATAAAGCGCTCAGCTGGGGATAAATCACAGTTAGTGTGCCGCCCGCGGAGCGAGCGAGTGCGTCATGGCCGAGCTACTGCCAGGACCACCGCCATCATCAGGCCGTCCTTCTAAACATAGCGTTTCCTGTTGTCCGTTCAAACACGGCTGCTTCCTGTTGCCTCATCCTTCTCTGCTCTGCTTGTGGAAGCTGGGGAGAGAGTGAACTTCTGCCAGAGCTCGCAAACTTCTGACTTAGAGCTTAGCGTGACTTTTGCGCTTAATTAGTCCATGACTCGTGGAAGTGATTCAGCACGCGTTTGCTTCTCGACTGACTTCTTACCTACAAGATATATTTGAAAAAAGCATGTCGCTCTGGATAAATGCCATAAATGGAAATGGAAATGTAAAAAGTGTCTGTAGCCGTGTTTCAGGAAACAGCGCGGTATGCAAGCATTCGTCCCAAGCTACTGCATGGCTAGCAGCCTCCTACATCCTGCTTATTCACTCCCAAGAGCTTGCATGGGAGTTTTGATGTACACATTACTTTATCTTAGATTACTCAAATAGCATTAGCAGGATATGTAGATCTATTTCCTCCTTATGTGCTGCTTATTACCCAGAGATATGCACTGGTAAACCATAATCACTAGAGGTATTTTTGCTATGAGATTTCTTATAGTATGTTAGCACTAAGCTAACAATGGTTCACATGCAATTTCTGGCTGTTCTAGATTAAACACAAACAATTAAAGCTTGTAAAATACATTCTATATGTTTTAATTCAAAGCTTAAAACAGTCTTTAACACATATTTGTGCTTTTTAACGTATTCTTAATTGTTTAATCAGGGACAGTGACCATTAATAAACAGTAGTAACAGATCTGTAAATGAGCCAGGGTTAGCCAAATAGGCTAATTTTCATCTGTCCCAGGCCAGATTTTAAAAGGAGCCTTTATTCATCAGTTTGAGTAAGGAGTCCTGGCGTAGAGCTGCTGCCACTGTTTCCCATTCCTAGCAACTAACCGAAAATTGGTTAAACTGTAGCTCATATTCACAGTCAATGACCTATCTAGAACTTTCATGAAGTTGGACCTATTGTACATCAGAATATAACAATTATTCATTGGGCATTTCAAGAAGTGACCCCTTTTGTTTCTAACCAAAAGCTAACAAAGAAAGAGTATTATTACAATACTTGCAGAGATTAAATACAGCAAGCATGATGATTCAATTAAATAAAAATGAGCTAAAATTTTTAGGCCTTCCCTGAAGGCTCAGAAACCCTCTGGAGAACTTCCTCTCTGGAGAATTGGACAGCATGAGCACAGTGTAACAAGTTCTTTTATTTAAGTGTTCACCAATTATTATCACTATAATGCTACTCATATGGCAAAGACAAGGCAGAAAAAGAAGAAGAGGTCTAAACATTGGGGCTTGTAAAACCTTAAAAACACATAGGAGGGTAGAGAGTTGAGAGAGAGGAAGAACTTAAGACCTGAAAACACAATGCTCAAAGGAAACCCGACTAACTATAAAGCAAAAGAACAAACAGAAGCAAAGGACATATATATACACAAAGTAAACAGGATGAGGTTGGAAACCATGACGACGTGGCGGGGCTACAAAACAAGACACAGATGTAGCCTATGAATAAAGTTAGGCTGCAGATTTCTCTGGTTTAAGCAGGCTTGAGCCCCCACTTTGCCCTCAGATTGCCCTCTCAGTGTCTGTGTATAATAACTTCATTTTGTATTGCGTCCTCCATTCTTCAAGATGAGGCCCAGTATCGTCCCTATAATAGAGCTTATGGGTCAGCTTGGGTTCTAAGAGGGTTTTGGGCACCTCCTCTTTTGCAGTACTGACCGTCTTGTTCTCCAACCTGTCACCAGTTCCCACAGTGCTGGAAATCCCACCAAGAAGGCATCACATTCCATGATGTGGTTTATTTTATCCCATTATTTGTGGCTTTATAATTTTCTACACCCAATTTTCATTGTTCATTATAGAAATAGACAATTGATATTTATTGTAAATTGCAATTATTCAGCTAAAATCAGCTAAAATGTCATGATCTTGGCAGGATTGGGACATAACCTTTATAGTGAAGAAGTTAGGAGAGTTTTGACTATCTATAGACAGACAGAAAGAAAAATAAGATAAATCAGTGTCTGGGAGACAAACAGTCTGAGCATCAGTCTGAGGCTGGCCAGCAGCAGGTCCAGGCCAAGACCAAGAACAATGACACCGCCTGCCCGCTGGTGCCATGGGTTAGGGATAACTAGCCAATCAAATCCTCCATCTTTCAACCAGCCACCAGTCGGCCAGGGCCAAGAACTGAGCCCAACTGCTGATTGGCTAGGAAATGACACCTGACCCATGTTTTCCTGAGGAAGGACGTGGTTTACTTCTGAGTAATATTTATCGGCCACTGGCAGGGATAGTTCACTGGGGGCACCGAATAAAGACACAGATAAAGAAAATAAATGATTTTGACGACTCTCGGATTTCAAAACAATGCGAGGCGCTTGCGTCTTAACAGTCTGAGGGCTGTATTTATTGGAGATTATTTATTAGACACTTTTCCTGGGTTTCTATTAAATCAGCAGACCTCGTGTCTACTCTCTGTTTCTGAGAGTGGACTGCTGTTAATGACCTGTTTACCTCTTGCCTCATGTGGACTTTGCTCAGCATCTGACACTTCCAACCTTGGGAAAGTACGGAATTCCTCATTTTTTTTCCATTTCTGTTCATAGGCTACATCTGTTTCTTTTCCATTTCTGTTAAGTAATCACAAACATACTTGTATGTGTAGTTTCTGACATGCTGTTTTCTATTAAAGTGGCTAAAAATGCATTAGCATAGCTAAAAACAGTAATAGCAGCCAGCTAAAAGCCTAAATTCTGTCTGTTTTTGTCCATCTTTGTGAAATATTACATAGTCCTTCTTTTTCCTTTCAGATACCCATTCAATATGTGAACTAGATGGCATTTATGGGGCCCAAAATGCGATCACTGTGGAGGCCTTAATGGAAGGGTGCTGGACAAGCTTTTCCACAAAGGACAACAGAGAAGTGCATATTATCAACCTGCAGTACACGCAACCTGTAAGTCTGTCTGTGTTTCCCATATAAATAGAATAATTGGAATAAATAGGATGTGTTGAAATTAGGGCTGTCAAAGTGAACAAAGTTAGTGCACTAAATGCATTAATGTAATAAACTAGTGCATTTTCCTAGTTTGACGCTTCAAACCACCTGTCTGTCAGTCAAATTCAGCTTTTAAACTGCTTTTGAAGCGATACCTTCAGCACCTTCGGTAGACTACACTGGGCAATGCGGAAGGCCATAATAGCAAGTGGAAAGTAATAGTAATAGTATTACCACTACTACTACTATTACTAATAATAATGATAGCTAGTCACACAGTTTGGCCACTTTAGTCTTGTTCTTCAGTAGTTGCATGCAATGAACACAATAAAATGAATTTATCAATTGCAGTCATTTATATGGCAATTCATCCTCAGCTAAAATTTCACAATTGTGACAGACTTGGCCTCTCATGACCATTAGAGTGAAAAAACAAAGACAAATTAGTGCATCTTCTTAGCTTGACCCTTTGAAATATCCGTTGTAATGCAGGCTGAAGCTGTATGTCTCTCATTGACATACAGCTTTTAAAGTAACACTTTCAGCACCTACAGTGGACGGTGCTGGCAGTAGACCTGTGGATAAAAAAATGAGCAGCAAACTGACAAAAGCAACAGTTTGGTGGAGTTCCAGTTTCCCTCAAGAGCCTCCATTGTAACAAGAAACTATGATTGTATTATCGAGAGTGAGAGGCTACAATCATGGAACACCTGAACCATTAACTGTACACACACACACACACACACACACATATATATATATATATATATATATATATATATATATATACACTCATTGGTTGGAATATGCAGACACTGTTGTTCTCACTGAATGTCAGTGATGTAAATTGGAAAATGCTTTTTGATGATGTTCATGTTCAGATTCAGTGTTCAGCTGTTGAAAGAAATAAGTACAGTCTGATGAATGTAGCACGCCGAGCTCGACTTTTTGGTCTGTTGCTCACTTCAGTGTTTTCCCAACATCTGGCTCAAATCATCAGCTAATTGCTCAGCCCTTCATGAGATGAACTGAGTGCGTAACAACAGGGAAAGCATGCAGGATTACTCCAGAACTGGAGTTGCGAAACAGTGCGCTATGCCAGCCTCAGTAAACACTGGTACTGTTAACATTAAGGGATTCAGTCATGCCGTAAGTCACGCCAACTTAAAACAAGTGCAGTCTGTTCTGTTCTGATGCCGCATCCACTATTACAACTACAGAGGACAATGGAAACACAGCTAATGAGAAGACCAAATAGTTTATTGGCAAACTTCTATTATGAATTTTATTTCTTGTGGTAATTTGGGTTTTATCATGCTCACATATGCAACAAATATGATCTTCTATAAGACTAATATGGATGTCTCTGATCTGCAAAGGTTTGGGTGCCCCTTGTCCTAATTCCTATGAGTTTTGCATCAATAATACTTGTGAATCATAAAAAGTTCTGGACCTTTGGGTACTGGATGGAACTCCACAGCCCAATACTGGGGGTCTTTATACTAATCTAGCTGATGCTTGAGTGACCTCAGGATGTCCCATTTATTGGCCAGTGCTTTAATCACAGGTTAACATTAGTTTGATTAGAAAATCTATTCTGGCTGTTTGTTTAAGCTTAAGTATGTTTGTCCAAAAGTATCCAGACAGTGCTTCTAATTAGTGAAATGAGCTACTCTATGGACACAGGCATTCAACTGTACACACAGTTTGTATCATCTCGATTAAAAAGGCACCGACCAATAGAATGGGATGAGCTGGAGCAGCTGGACATGAGCCCATGCCTGATGCCAAGCATGGTCTGGAGGGGAACTGCTTTCTCTGGAGGGATGGAGCTTCATCCAATACCTTTGGGATGAGCTGAAGTGATCCAAAACTGACCTGATCAGTACCTGACCTCACTAAAGCTCAGTCAGATGCTCACAGCAATGTTCCAAGATCTAGTGTAAAGCCTTCCCAGAAGAGTAGAGGCTGTTACTGCAGTAAAGAGGGGGAAAACACACTATTAATACTCTTCATTTTGGAAAAAAATGGTGTCTACACACTTTTGGAGAAATATTTGTAAGTTCTTACTATCCCCCTACACAGAAACGCTCCTAGGAAGGGTGTATATGTTCATTTATATGCCAGTTTCTTAATTAAATGTATATATTAATACTTCAAAATTCCACAAAGAATTTCTCTATAAAACTACATAACTTAAGTCATAACTGAGACCTATCCAATAATAACAGGGTTGTCCTTTGGCTTCAAAATTTCTGCATAATTAAATGGTTAAGATGTAAACAGAGTCATTCAGAGTGGTTTGGTGTGAAATGCTCCGTTCTAGAGGAACTCAGAGGAGTCAGAATAGTTCACAGCTGGTGATAATAGGAACCAGACGTCTCCTCTAAAAGCTCCCTCACAGAAAGTTATTACATGAAATGGTTATGAGTTCACTGCCTGATGTCTGACACATTGTTTTTATACAATATTTTTAAGACTTCTTACAACTCCTTTTAAAAAAAATCATGATGAAGGGATGCATGCAGGGCAAACTTGCAAAGAAAACTTACTTTTTCAGATTTTGCACTACATTACTGTCATCAAACATTCCATATAAAAGCTCAGAAGACACATGTACGTTCACTGGTGGTTTTGGGTAGTAAATAAAGATGGCTATATTTATACTGTAGACAGATATTTGTGTCCAATCTCCACCACTGTAAAGAAATCTGAGGCCCTATAATGAACCATTTCGCATTAAACCACTCTGAATGACTCTGTTTACATCTCAGTCACTGAATTATGCAGCAACTTTGAAAAATCTGTGTAGATCTGTTTAGCTAGGAAAATACTGCTTTGTGAAATACGTCAGCACAGAACATTCTTTGGAGCGTAACTGTGTTTTGCATTTCTGAGCCGTTTTATCACAACTCTTCACGAAATTCCCAAAACTAATACCCACGATCCGAGTGTCTAAACAAACTGTCTCTGCGAATGTTTGCTTAGACTGCGCCATTCCTGAGGGGCAGACTTTGTTTTCTCAAAGCTCTCTGGAGTTAAGATTGATACCAGATGACCAGCAGTGTTGGCTGTCCCATGTGGCCCAATGCAAACACTCGGGACATCTCGACTGACCGGCCCTGCAAGCCCCAGCGCCTGCCGGACGTAGCTGAGCGAGAAACGGCTCCCTGAGGTGATTCAGGTTACCGTGGGCGGGTGAGAAAGAGAAAGCGCATCTCTGTGGGGAGCCACAGCACTATTCCCAAAGCATGCCAGCAGGCATTGCTGGTGTCTGTTACTGATGACAAACACAGAAAGTGGTTAGAAGCAGCTGCTATAACCCTGAAAAGGAGTGGACCGACACTCCTCACAGAGTATTATATGTGTGATTTCATGAAATGAATACATTTGCTTTTAAAAAGGCTTGCAAGGCAACTAAATCACATTTTCTGCTCAATTAAAGGGCCCATATATACATTTATTCTGTACACTTATGATGTTTATGTGGTTTTATAGGAAAAAATGAATTTCACATAACTCTCTTAGCATTAAACACGCTGTTTTAGTTACTGAGCCTTTAAGATATATGCAAATAGACTCTTCTCTGATTGGCTGTCCTGTGGACACTGGAACATGTCTTAAGACTTCATCGTAAATGGGTGGTGCTAAACTGCTATGGACTAAATAGGCAGACGTATGTAAATGTGTTGTTTTTGTGACATCACAAAATTCAAAATGGACTGGGACATGTTATAATGTTTACATATAACTTCAGCCTCCTTTATTTGGAAAAAAGCAACACAAATTAGGTTTTCCATGATATGGGCCCTTTAAAATGAGGCAGTAGGTGGATGTTAGGATCTTAATCTATCTGTTTATTATAAATTATGGCACTTTATGTATATATAATGTAATATAAGAAAAAAAAAACATACTTTACTTTGAATGTAAGCATTAACTTCTATGAGTTTTGCATCAATAATAAGTTGAGATTCATAAAAAGTTGTGGACCTTTGGGTATTGGATGGAGCTCCATCACTCCAGAGCTGTTCCACTGCAACACAAATTTGGTTTTCCATGATATGGGCCCTTTAAAAAGAGGCTGTAGGTGGACTTTAGGATCTTAATTTATCTGTAGATGCTCATCTTCACCCTGATCGATTGAGAAAGTGGTGTGAGATGCTGGCGTAGGTCAGAATTCATCAGAAGAAACCCAGAGGAACACTGTTTTTTCCCACTCTGGCTCTTTCTCCAGCGGGCCAGAAGGAAATGAAAGCTGCCTGAAATGGCATTAAGAGAAAAAGGCTGGCAGCGGACGCCGCGTACCAGATAAAAAACACGAAAACGCCGCGGGAGCACAAAAGAGTTTGGCTCGTGAGGAGAAAAAAAGAAGCTGTGGGCATTCCAGAGTGCATGCGTATCCTGTTCCCCAGTGACTGTGGCAGTGTTTGTGGATGGCTGGAGAACGGTCAGGACGTTCAAGTACACAGCGAGGCCTCCTGTATTGTGTCAGTTGACGTGTAGAACAGAGGGAGCAGCTGTTCTTGAGTACGGCCTCATGTTTGTGTGGAGGAGATAAAGGAAAGGAAAGGTTTTTTTTTCTTCCTAGTTTAGGGACACTCTGACATTCAAGAATACAAATCGGAGTGATAGTAAACTTTAATGTTTCAGTCGGCCTGGTCATGCTCCGCCCACAAATGCATTGTTTCATAGCAACTGTTGCTAGATAGGACAAGCTTCCCAGAGCACTGGCAAAAAATTAATTCAACATGAATTTAGTGATATAGTGATTTAGTGGTAATGAGTTTTAAGGTCGATGCTGCACGGTATTCAATGAATATGTCACTTGTGCAATGTTTCACCATAAGTAACAATATTAATAATAACTAGAAGGGTCAAATTTGACTGACATTGCTTTACTATACAGGATTGTTGCTAAAGTGTTGTTAGGCCTTTATTATGTTATCCTAAGTGAT